TATTTAAAAATCAACGGATGTGATTTGGTAATAAAACAAGTTTTACCCGTCCACCCAGCGATAAATCTCCGAAGGGGTTATTTACGGAATAATCGCGAAACGTATTGTTTACCGACGTAGTCGTACATCATTTTGAACATCAAATTGTGATTGCTGTTGCAGTAGTGCTGTAGCCACAGTATATGTTCAAATGGTTACTATTATAATACTGTTATTACGTAACAGTTGTGCGTTAAACCATGACGATTAAGATAACAGATTCAATATATTTGACTGACCGTTTCCAGATACTGTTGGCATGAGTTCGTGAAGTCTGTATTGTATAATAATCATTCTTTAGAATCCCAGGGATAGATGGTAACTTTACGGTAACGAGATAACTTTAATGATCCGTAACGTTTCCTGAAAATTAATTACTAATTTAATACACTGTTGTCGAAATCCAAATTTTGAAACAACCGGTAAATTGTTCCGTAAATTGTTTCCTTCATATAATTGTTTAGAGCTAAATCTTGAGTGAAGACACACACAATATCCTGTTTTTACTTCTACAAATGTGTGTTTGTATATAAATATATTATAATATAATATTGAATTAAAATTTTTAATTCGTTTACTACAAAAAATAAATAAAAAATATTTTAATGAATGAAAAAATATTAAAAAACAAACAATATTGTCGCAATATATATAATATATCGCAATATATACAATATTGCATTTTTGAAAGTATTTTAAAAGGTTTCCAATAAGGCAATCATCTTTGAACTATAATCGTTAAATAATCATTTAATGTAGGAACATATGAATAATTTGGTCAATCGCATTGTTTTGTTAAGAAATTTTCAATTTTTACCGAGTGTATTATATGAAAAAACATAGTAATGAAAACAAAAACACATTCCTGGTTTCATCGAAAATCTAGCTTAATGTTATTTACCGTTGATAGTTAAAATAAAATAACATGTTCATACATTACAAGAACGATGCCATGAAAAGATTATGTAAAATAGAAAACGTATTTCTTTGTTCTAGACAAACGTAAGTGAACGAGTAACTGAACGAGCTCCGTAGAGGTATTATTTCAGTTGATCTAGTGTACCTACTCCGTTGAACACGTGAGCGGAATGAAACTTTCGAGTAGCGAAAACCGTAATAGGTGCCCATACACGAAAGGATTTTAAGACGGATTTGGTCTGTGATGGACTAAATCTTCTAAAAAGTCCTACCATGTATAGTTTTCTAAGGTTTGAATCCTTGAAAACTGAAAATCTAGCAGATTTAGTCCGATAGATTAAGTCTCTCGCTTCTCCACTAATTAAAAAGATAGGTCCGGTGGACATCAATAAGAACTTTTTATTTATTGATAATAATTTTTCTTTAAAATTTTTTTTTAAATTTATTAATTTATAAATTAAGTGTTTTTGATTGAATTTTATTTTTTTAAATAATAATTCTTTACATTTCGTTCAACTCTTTTAATAATGACATATAACCAAACAAGTCCCTTCTAGTGAGCCAGTTTTTGATCCAGTTAACCTTCATTTTTCTCTTCGAGGTATAATAATACACGACCATCAATCCTGCAGTAGCTATCAATTTTTTTTCTCGAAGGCAATTTATTATTATTATGTTTATTCATATTATTAAATATCAATTATATATTTAGAATGTATCAGTATAAAATAACATTTACTTAACACAAATTAATCGCATAACAATAATAACTGATAAGGCAACTGTATTCCGTCGTATAAATTCGCAGGTCTTTCAGTACATCTTGAAACACCAGAGGACTAGGTTCTTAGCACAAAAGTCAACGGATTTCCGTCAATAACTAACGGATTTAGTCCGCTGGTGGATTCGATCCGCGAAATATAGCGGATTTTTATTTTCACGTTAGTGGACAGAACTTAGGACCTAGTTCGATGGACCAAATCCATCGAGGACCTAAGGATTTAATCCGTCAGACCAGATCCGTCATAAAATCCGTTCGTGTGTGGCAGCCTATTAAAAACCCGAACGCATCCGCTAGACCAGTGCTTCTCAATGGGGGCGATATCGCCTCCCGGTGGTCGGCGAAGGAGTACCGAGGGGCGGTGAGTTCGTTTAAGGCGATTGGGGGGTGGTGAGCTCGTTTTGGGCGATTAGGAGGTGGTAAATTTTTTTTCCGTTCAAAGCAACGTACCAAGATTTATCTGTAATTGTTTTCCGTCTATCGATTTCTAAAATAAATTTGTGATTATGAAATATAAACCACATATATCAGAGGCAGTGCGTTATTATTTAATAATGAAAAAAGAAATCGACTAAATATCGTCAAAAGAGGAGACTTACGGTTTCATCTCTCAAATTAAAAAATAATTTTGAATCACCTAGCATTTCACTGATCAGTACATTTCAAAAAATTTATATTATATTTAAATATAAATTTTACATTTTATTTTTATTATATTTATATTTATATCTATATTATTTATTATTCAATTATAAAAATTTCATGTATACTATTTTTATTTTAATGAAGTGAAGGGGAGGTCGTTGAAAAACATTTTACTTCTTAGAGGGCGGCAGTTTGAAAAAGGTTGAGAAGCACTGTGCTACACGTTGCTCTGTCCTCGTACGCGTTCAACTTATAGGTTTTCTACAACGGTAAACTGTTAATAGAGAGTTAGGTTAGGTTAGGCGGAACTAGGGCGTGGAAAACGGGGATTCATCCGCGGGCGTAAAATGTTAGAGGGAGTAATTTTTTGAATTATCAACAACTTATTTTATATTTTTAACTTTGTTAAATACTGATATTAGTTTAAAACTCAGTAAGTATGATTATGTATTAATTATCAGAAAACAATTCTCGAGAAGAGTATTTGATTATTGGTCTATGATAGGGCGTAACTTTAACATTTTTTCTCGGGCGTGAAAATTCCTAGTTTCACCTCTGACTACTAGGACCTGTCGAGTGGAACGCAAACGATCACAGCGACAACTAGTGGCTGAGCCCATGTAGGCGCTATATACATTTCAACGGTGTGGGGCGGTGTGTTTGTGCATTTGAAAATCAACGAGACCCCGTGAACGGATGCGATTTGGTAATAAAACAAGTTTTACGCGCCCGCCCAGCGATAAATCTCCGAAGAGGTTTTTTTTCATCGCGTCCCCGATGTTGTTTGCAACGTGCTCTTAGGAAAAACGATCGGAAATCGCGTGATTTCGTTTGGTCGGGCGTTCAACAAACCGCAACGATGGAATAATGATAATTATAAATACGGAACGGACACGTTTACTGTGTGTACACACGAGCTTTTGCGTGCCGATCAACGACCACCGCCCGTGAGTTGGGTCCCGCGCACGAACCGTGGCGATAATGAAATTACTCGGAAACGATATTATTATAGATCATGTTCGACTCGCGACGATGGCTTCGAAGAGGTTCCACGAGGTTATAACGTACGTCGGTGGTTATTTCGACCGAATTTCAAGGGGGAGGCGGGCGATTAAAAATATCAACACTTTCCACCGCACGTATGCCTCGACTTACAGCATGTATTACGCATGTGTTACGTCCTCATACGAAATCCTCCAATGAGCCATTGGAGAGTAACATCGATAGTATGTCAAGTGCACTACTCGGACGAAAATCGTGCAGAAATATGCGTAACTCGTCCGCGCGCGTCCGCATTTTTCACACGTTCTTATATCGGAACTCCTTAACGACGATTGCCTGTAACCGTACGTGCAATTTGGGCAAAGTTTACCCAAAGACTATTACCATAGTTTAACTAAAATCTTACATTATAGTATGGCGATAGAGCGTTACTGCAATTATCCACTCGACATTAGGACGGTATGAAAATGATAAGGACTTGGAAACATCGCCCGAGTGGTGTTAGGCATCATTGTTGCGAACGTCATGACTCGACTGTCTAGTTATTATTGTATGATATCCGTTGTGTTCCGTTTGTTCGCGGTGGTAAACATATTTGTTTCCATCCCGTGGGCGTGCGCTTGGGATAGGTAATCGAACGGCGTCTCTAGGGACGTGCAAGGCAAATATTTATATTGTATATTACACTATGATATATTTATTTTTAGATCGACAGTAATTTGATTTCATTCAAATAACTTTATTTTTATTTTTTTATTTATTTATGGGAGGCGCAATTAAATATTCTTGTTTTGAGAATGCGTGAACAAATTTGGCAATCACTGTACTATATGATGAATATTTCTATTATCATAAACATTTTATAGTACAAATGTATATTTCATTATTCTCATAAGAAAACGGTGTGCCATTGGTTAAACATTGAACAACGTATGTGTATGTATTTACACACACCATGAATATAATGATAAATTATTAAAAATTAAATTGTAATAAATTATTGATATGTATAAAAAATTAAAATTAGAAAAAAAATTAGAAATACTCGAAAAAGTACCTACCAAGTATAAATAAAAAATACATTAATTTTTAACGAAATTTTAAATTGATCCATAATGACACTACATCTCAACTGCTTATAACTTTTCAAATTCTTATAAATCAAAAATATTTTTTTGAAGCAATATTCTAAGTATTTAAATGATAATTTCCTACCTAATGACATAGTTTTTTAATTTTTTTTAAACAATATAATTTGACTTAAAAGTTTTTAATATATTATGATTTTTTTTTATATTTACCTCGTATGTTATAATTAAAAATTAAGAATTTGACATGTATAAACATTTAAAAACACACTTAATAAATAACACTAAATTTGTTTTGACAATTAAATGCTCCCCCTCTCTCATGAAATGTCCAGCTATGCTCTTGCACGTATTATACTACCTATATTATTTATTATACTAGTATTGTAGTATTAATATAAATAAACATTTATGATAAGTATATGAATGTTATTTTAATTAAAACTAAAAAATAAACTAAGGTATAACTTGTTATATTTATAATGTGTTGGAAAAATTTGAATTTTACATATTACATATTTTTGTAGCAATATCAGATATTGAAGATCGCGAACAATTTCTCTTGGATATGGAGCAGTTGGGAAAAGGGTCGATAAGTGGTCCTATAATTCATGAGATTCGCCATCGAATCAAAACACTCGAATCGATCATCAATAGAACTACGAGTAAATATAGGGCAACAGATTTACAGAATATTGCCGAAAAATACCGAAAACCACTAGGAATACCGAAACCCTTACCAGGTTTCGTACCACCACCTAAATAAATAATAAAAATAAAATTAAGACATAATAATTTTATTTATTTGTAATACTATATACTATAATAATTGTTACTTATTTGCTGCTTTTTATTTATTCCTATATTTATTTAAAAAAAAAAATGAAAGCGGAAAAAGCTCGTTCACACAGATACACAGGTTGTCGAAATATAGTCCATCAAGTTTCTAAGTGCAATTTTAGAAAGTTTTGCCGAATATTTAACTAGAATGGTAATAATGATGTAGTTTTAAAAAACGAGTTTAGAGTCACTTGTGGTCCGCAGCCCATAGGTTGGGAAGCGCTGGATTAATTCTTTCCGCCAATTTTTTATCATAATAAATTGTAAATATAAGTTTATAACTTCAATACATGGTCAATATGTTCATGAAAAGATTCTTGGTTATTTTTTATATTATTTATAATCATATATTCATTTTTTAATTGTAACGTAACATTTTCTAAAAATAGGATTTTTACATTGTAAGTACCCAGATATTCCCGTATGATACAGGTGGACAACGCATAATATTCACTCTCAACGGTATTTAAGTAAGAAAATATGTATGCGATTGTGTATGTGTGATGGATAGAAATGTATTGATTTATTATACAATTTAATACATTATTAACAATGCATTTTTACTTAATCTACATACTTAGTTCCAGGGCCGCATTTATGAGGGGGAGGACTGGCTACAACTGCCCCGGGCGCCAGTTTTTTGGGAGCTCCAAAATTTTGTGGTCGGAAATTTGCTTACTTGTGAATTATAGAACTTTTAAAATTATTTTGAAAATATTATTTTTTTTGTATTTAATAACAATATCATAAATTAATGTTAATTTTTTTATAGCAATATAGCTACCAGCAATCCAGCATATTATTAATATACCTACCTAATATTAGTTCCCAAATTTATTGTGATAATGTCAATAAACATATTTATAATAATAAGGCGTATTATGTTATCGCGTGCGGCGTACAGTGGCGTGCCTACTACACAAACATAGCATTGATTTTAGAATATCTAAAAGGTTCATGAGGATCTATCTCCTTGTATATTTTCCGTAGTGTAGGGCCAATAGAGGGGCGCCAATTTTTTTTTTTGCGCCGAGCACAAAAGGTCTAAATATGGCACTGATTAGCTCTATATGTGAAAACAATCCTACTGACATATATAATAGGACCTAGAATCCCCTTTTTCTATCTATTATCATACATTTTGTAATCAGTGTTTACACGTGCATATTACCGATCCCCCTTCCATTCCTAAGATATTCTAACATTTACTATAGTACTTTTTATACATTTGTGTATGATCGTGAATCGCAGGGGGCTGAGGGTGTTTGAAACCCTGAATTTAAATACTAATACCGCTCGAATCTTGTGATTATAATTTATAATTTAACTACCATAATATTTCAATAAAAATTAAATTTATTAAATAAATAAATAATTTGTTTTTATAATATAATATATAATATATTAATAATTAATATGCTTGGTTTATGAGTGGATATATTTAACTGTTATGTTGTGTAATACACATGAAAAAAACGAATACTTTTTACGGAAAATTATGGTATATGTGTGTATTTGTTTGACTGCACCATGAATTAGTACACTACCCCACTGCAAAGCGCAAAAATCCAATTATGCTGTGTCTCTCATTATCGAATACTTCAATTTGCTTTTCACAATCCTCTTGCACGTTATTTATAAGATTTTAACCATTTCTAACATTTCTACGCTATCCTCTACCCCAAAAAATTCAAAAAACCTATTCTGTTAAACAAATTTTTGTTGAAAGAAAACGATTATCTTGGCTAAAGAATCTCCGCAACTAGTATAATAAACAGAAATTTATTTATTTCGAGCATCACTTGATAGGAACAACTTTGCTAACATGATGTCCAACATCCGAAATGGATAGGAACTCATAAAAAAAGAAGTCGAACAAATTCAGGGAATAATTGTTATACAAATCATTCAAATTACATAGAAGACAATTGTGATAAAAAAAAACGAAATTTTCATAGATGGGGAGGGGTTGAATATTTCCGGAGAGAGGATGGTATACAAAGTCCGGAAATGGTTAAATAAATTCATGCACGATACAAATAGCGCATCATATTTTACTATAAAAAAAAAAATGTTTATCAATTTTTTTTACTTGGAAGAGCTGGGAAACAGTATGTTCGAAATAAAGATATTATAAATAAATTAGAATATAAATATAAACATGATAATGAGAGAAGGAAGATTGATTTACTGCTGGAGCAATACGTGGAGGGTTGTATTTAATTATATTGTATATTATTTATTATAAAATAATGTATAATATATACAATAGCTACTTTTGAATAACTCATATAACTTGAACTATCTTCTAACTAAAAAGGAAAAATAATAGATAGTAAGTCAATAAGAACTAATTTTTAATTTTTTATTTTTCTTTACATTATGTGTTCTTTTATTTTTTATTATTGAAGTAAAAAAATATACGTTTTTAACTTCTGTTTTTAATCTCAATAATCTTTAAATTAAATTTTATTTAAATTACGATTGTAATCGTATAGTTTTTTATATTGTTATTCAAATGAATTTGTAACCCATGTAGTTCTGTGAATTGAGATGCAAATGTACACAATATTGTTCATCTATATTTATAACGGTATGTAAATATGCAATGAACTCAAAATGAATTCATATACATTTACTAGATTACAGTGCACATATGTGATTAATGTTTGCGAATGTATCGAATAATTTAGTAATAGAACAAATATTGTTTACGTTTCAAACATATAGAATGGTTCGGATTTAAATATATCTACAACATATTTTTAAAATATGTTGATGAATGAATTATTTTTAATTATCCTTAATAAATTGCATTAGAATTGTAAAATAATATTTCCCACGTGAAATTTGGCTACTGTGCAGCGTGATGAAAATACCGGCTTCTGGATCCTGGAAGAAGATATATGAGATTCGTAATAATATATATTTAATTTATTTATTCTTGTTTTTAACACTTTATTGGATAGTAGAACTTCAATAAAATTATTAATGTAGCGTATCATTCGATTATAAACGGTTACACCAAGCAGGTGATTTTGAAAACGGATTTTTTGTTTCACCAGAATTTTTTTTTGTGCTCAAGAAAAAAACCCAAGGTGGTAAAATACAAAATCAGTGATATTTATTCAGGTAAATGCAGTTTTTGTTTGTATGATATTTATTTTTTACGAAAAAGTATGTTGTATTCAATGACTCGAAATTTACGCCGCAGTAATTTATTGACGGTATTCATAACGGCTTATTATAACATTTCAACCAAAAAATTAGTGATTTTCTGTACATGTTATTTACCGGCAAATGAAACCACTAACTGGTGTAATTATATAGTTATGAATTTTTTTTCAACAGTATCCGTTCACCGTTGTTCGAGTTCGTAGTACAACGTATTATAATCATTTTTGAATTGAGGCTTGTAATCGTATGCCATACGGAATATTTCATAACGTTATACATGTTGAACAGTTTTTAATCGGATTAAAATTTATAGGGAATCATAAAATATCAAGCGGTAGCTATTTCGGCCGTAATTTCAAAACGTTTTGATAAAATAAATAAATAAACGCACATGATGTTGCTCACCGTAATACTGTATATTATGCATTACTTTTCATTATTTTATCATTATAAAAACAGGACCTTTTTTAACTCCTTATTAAGTGCATAGGTAAGGGATTATAATAGAAACACATCGTAGAAGTCTCGCTACTCATACAATTTAAAATTCGGAAGATCCTATACATCATTGTTTAACAATGACTTAGTATTTTATTATTATACCTAACTGCGCCAACTATAGTATTGATCCCACTATCGACTATACATGAATATATATATAGGATAAATGTAACTTTATAACGATAAAAAAATCCCCAAGTGAAAATAAAATCGAATGACTTTTTATGATTTTAAATAATAAAATTGCTTGTTTTTTCAAAGAAAATATTGTTACACAGTTTTGTTAAATTATATTTTATGTTGTGTACGGGTTTTCAATCATTACTATAAAATATAAACTTCGTAATTGTATAAAAATTATTTAATTAAACAGTTGTTTATTTTAATGTTTTGTAGTGTCTACCTTAATTTAAAAAGACATCTCGAGCACCATTAATTCATCGTCTAAATTCAAGGCATTCATTAGGTCAAGGTTTGTATGTATTTTATTTATTTTATTTTAAGAATTTTTAAACGAACAATTCTACAAAATAACAAATGTTACTGTTACCAAGTGTATATTATTTAGAAAAGGTTGTCCACTTAAATGCAGGTGACTAGTGTTAATTTTTTCTTTATGTTCATGCTTTTATGATAAAATGTATTTTTTTAAATATAAAATTGTTAATATTTGAACGAAAAAATAATTGATTATGATCCGTCTCAATCAAAAAACGGCTGTATAACAATTTTATTTAAAAAAGTATCAACGAAGAATAAAAATAAATATATCACTGTACAATGAACATAAATTTACGTACAGAATTAAATTTAATAATTGTGCATTTATTACTTATAATAATCGCGTTTATTTATTACAATTAAAAATATTACATTATTTCCTATTTGGGTTGATAAGGTCTTGTTTTAAAGAAAAAAAACATTTATTTCAAGTCAGTAATTGTTGCAAAGTTTTAGTACAACAATGTTTCCTATGAAAATCATTTCAAAATACAAATCTTTTTGAAAAAATCGTTCAATAAAAAACTTTCAACTTAATTTTATTTTTCGTGATTCTTTCTATATAACTAATAAGCTACGTGTTGATGTCTAAGTATAACTCAGTATTAATATTTCGCATTATTTGAACGTTTTATGGGTACAATTCTTATTAAATGTCGCCGATTTTAATATAAATAAATTTTACTGTATTGTCTTCATAGTATGTTTATAATATTATAATATTAGTTATACCAGAAAAATATTCCATAGATAATAAAATATTACAATATCATAATGTATGCATACATACATATATTTGGACTGCACCCATTAATTATCAAATAAATAAATACATTTAAACAACATATTTTCGTTCTGCTGAAGTTCTATCTATGTATGTGTAATACTATGGTTTTTTTATAAACTCGGTTTTTTAGTTATTATTTCTTCGATCACTTATATATGAAATAAGTTACATAAACTTTCATTTACCAGGTTCAGAAAAGTTTTTTATACTTGAAACCCCAATGCTTACATAAGCTTACATATATAATATTACTTGTTGTATTTTAACGATTTAATGTTCACGGCGTATTGCTTACCTTACATTTAAATTTTATTTTGGAGTCTATCATTGAACACAACATTGTTAT